TGCCAGCAAAATTTTAACATCACTTCTTTAAAAAGAGGTATATGTTGTTGGAACGTTATCTTATTTTTCTGCCTCACAGTTTGTACTACAACTGTAACACATTTACTACATTTCTAGAATCAAAAGTATATTTCCTGACAACTTATTCTTGTTTAATGATTTTTATTACCAAAATATAGCTGACACAGAATTGTTGCTGTCAGAATGTTAAAAAATATATATATTTGGAGCGTATGGTAGTCATTGTAGGTTTTTAAGATATCTAGAGGCAGAACATCCACTTCAGGATAACATAAATGCAGTTTGAACTATGTTTGTGGCAGATAACCTTTAAATATTACAGTTTTGAACTTCTGAAATATAGTTTCTAGGGCAGCATGGACATTCTTTCTTAAGCATGTTAAGTGAAATTGTCCAGGTTTTGCTTAACAAGGTATTATGGGTATATTATTGCTCAGATAAATCAGTTCTCCATGCTGCCAAAAATTTATTGTATAAAAGTCCAAAAGGCACACTGGATTATTTGAAGTGTTCATATAAGCAAATGAGAAAGGAAGAGAATCTGTGTTTTTGGCTTATGGTAAAAGACAAATTCAACTGCCTTAAACATATTCCTGAGTCATCTAAAGAACCCTCATCCTCAGAGTCTTCCAGCTATAAACAGAAAGTTTGAAATTGATATTCTTTGAGGTATTTTTTTTTAATTCCAGAATGACCCAACTGAACTGTCAAGAATGACCTATTGTGAAGTTGAATGGCTGATGTTTAAAACACTTCCGTATTTGCTATTACTATGCAAAGAAAAAAAATCTTACTGAGTATATATTTAAATAGTCCCCAAACCATGTAGTATCTTAAAGACTTGCATTCAGACTGCATGAGTTTAAGTCTGGATTCGGTTGATTCTCTTTTTGTTCTTGAGTAAATCTATACTTTTGACTAAAACCAATAATCTTCCTCCACAAAACCACCTGGTCCCTAATTGTAATCCTTGTCACTGAATGACACTACCACCCATTTGGTTATGCAAACCACAAATTCTTGTTACCAGTCATCAGAAACTTAAGGTCTTGTGTAGTGACTATCAGATATGCTCATTTCTACCTCTGTCAGCCTAACCTTACTCTAAATTAGCATTATCCAATACCATATAATCAACCTTATGTGGGTAGACCACTGCAATACACTCCTAACTCAGTCTACTTTCACTGTGTTCTCTATTTGGTAGCTTAAGATCCTTTATGGCTGCTGCTTGCTCTAAAGATAAATGCTAAAAGTTTTACATGTCCCTTGCCTACTTCTGCACTATCTTCAAAATGGGCCTCTCTCCCTTGTTCTCGTAAGCCTCTAGGCATTTGAATTATTTGAAATCCTCATGGTTATCCTTGCCTTCAGGCCTCCCACTTATTTCCACATAAGTCATTGCCTCAGATCAGGTCCCCTTGTTATATACTCATTATAAAACCCTACATGGAGTCTAAATAGAGTTTTGGCAGTTTATAATTGCATGATTGTTTTCCCTACCGAAAGACTCCATGAGGGCAGAAATGGGATGTTTTGATTACTGCTGCATCTCCAGGATACAACAGAACACATAGCATGTAGAAGGCACTGAAATACTTCTTGAATATAAACTTCTTGTGATAAGGTTGCAAACTACAAAACTTAGTTGAAGTGTGAATTTCAACTAAGTTTCAACTAAGCAATCTATGAAGTTATAAAATGCTAATTATTTGGGACTCTTATTTTCACATTTGTAGAAATAGTTTAGGATCAGTAGATTAGGATTCTTATACTCCTAGGTCTGCCACTTTCTAGCTTGTGACTTCAGGCAAAACATTGAATCTCTCAGTGTTTCAACTTGCTTATTTGTACATGAATTCAGTAGTAACCATACCTTCCCAACCAGCTTTGTGAACATCAAAGGAAATTGCAAAAACACTCAAATTTATAAAATACAGTTGTGAGGGATGATTAATACCTATGGTCTCTAGAAGAGTCAAGACCAGAATGAACTAAGGACTGTAAGAAAAACAATGCTTAAAGGCAACATGGACTTTTAAACATGTTTCTAGCAAGAACAGGGATGGATAAGATAAAAGAAAATACTTAGTACTTAAGCTTCATCTTCCTTCTGTCTTACCCACTAAAAAGAAATGGGTCTTCAAGATCTAAAATGTAAGACAACATGTATTTGATGGAATTAAAATCTGAGATAATTAACATTTAAGGAGCTAATCTGCTGAAGCGTCCAAATACAAATGAATTCTATCCTGGGTGCTGGAAGAGCCTGCAGATAGGATTTCATAAATGCTGTGGAAAACAAAGGTAAGCCCTGCAAAGGTGGAAAGTACAACTTAACAATTTTTAAAGTTTTAAAAGTTACATCCTAGAAACTACTAACAAATTTACTTTATGAACAAGATCATTAGAAGCCAGCATAGTTTCAATAAACTGAATACCTACTATACACTAGTTAACACACTTTAAGCCCTCAGTCTACTGAGAAATACACGTGTATGAAACAATTGGTTTGAAAAGCCGTCTAAAGTGATATGAGTAACAATGCGGTGCACGTACAGGAGGCAATAGCTGAAGCCAATCTCACCTTTTGAGAGCACTGAGAAACTGATAGATGATGAGAAATGCACATTCAGCAGGTTATTTAACAAAGCTTCATGGTATCTTTATGCTTCAATTATCAACTCAACAAACCAGTATTAAGTATCATACTGTGCCAACGGCAAAGAAAGAAAATACGGTTCCTGCCCCCGAAGTACTTAACTTTCTGGTGGGAGAGACAATTTGTAACAATATATATAGTGCAGTATGTGAGGTACTGCAAAGGGTGGCTTGGGAGAATTGAAGATTAAAGATCACTTAAATCTAATGAAGAGGTGGTTTGTCAGGGAAAGATTTCCTAGCAAGAGTACATTGGAGGTGAGACAAAGGATGGATAAAAGTTACAACATAAGGATAAAAGGCATTCCAGACAAGGAACAGGTGGGGAGAAGGCCCATTAATAGTGGAAAGGATTTGGGAAAGAAGCAGTCCAGCTGACTAAAATGGAGGCACATGGTGGGATACGGCAGGAGTTCGTGCTAGAGAGAAGTCACACTGTGAACTCTGTCTTTTGAGTGCCACCTTACGGAAAATGAACTTTGTGCCTAAGCAGGGAAATGTTTTAGTAGTTGGGATGATTCATAATTGAATAACCATTCCCAAAAAGGCTTGATGGGTACAGCTATGTCAACTTGGAGGGATGTCTGTAATGCTGTACTAGAGGACCTTGGCTGGGCCCAATTTTATTCGACATTTTACCCAGAAATTTAATGAAGATATCTGCGTAGCTAGAGCAGATAGCTGGCGTAGAAGAGCACAAAGATCTTGACAGGCTGAAACAATAGAAGAAATCTTACAAGACAAAATGTACACAGTGCACCCTGGTGAGGATAATTTTTTAAAAAGTTCCATGTTGAGAAAACTGGAGCTAGATGTATCCTAAGATCCTTTTAGGTTCTACAATTCTATTTCCGAAGAACATTGGTCATCATTTAAATATCTAGGTTTCCTAATTTTTTGAAACTCATTTACTTGGCAATCATCTACATAAAAGCAACTAGTATACTTGAAACATAGAAGATAAATTTTTTCTTCCTCCTTTTTTCTTCCTCGAGTCTGATTGAAAAATAAAGTTGAAAAGAGTAAATCAAAGTAAGCTAATCAGAGGATGTTTACTTCAGGAAGGAGTCTTCTCTTTTGACTAAAAGTACAGAAACTATGCAACATGTTTCATCAAACCCAAGATACCAGTAATCATAAGATATCATTACTTTATATACAACTAAGAAAACATGCTACCAAGTACACACTGGTACATGCTATCAACACACTGTTGATTCAAGACACCCCAATTTCAGAGATGTTAGAATGTGAAAAATTCATCATAGAATTGAAATACATTTTTTCTGAGTAGAAATAGTAATGAGCTTCAGTACCACAATGGTCTTAAAAGAGATTATTTCCTCAAACATTTATAATCATAGAAGGGCACATAATCATAATTATGTAAGATTCTTCTTTGATAATCAAATGTTTTGTGATTTATAGGCAACCAAATGTTAGGGCTAACTAGTAGCGTTATTTACCATTCTAGAGGTTCAGTGATCTACCTAATTAAACATCTGAGCTGCAAAGTCTTTACATTTGATTTTTGTATAGTTAAGAGAGTTGGCCTTAGAGGAAGCAGATCTAAAACTCACAAGCTCATGAGTAAATCTTTTTTCATTATGATGTCTGAGTTATTGTTGTCAAAATGATTTAATTGGCAAACATTACAATGTAAATTTGAAAGACTTTTGCTGACTAAATGGATATGAGAGGGAGAGGCTGGAGTCTAGGATGACTTCCAGCTTTCTGGCTTGAGCAACTCTTGGTGATTATATTCACTGAGATAATTGGAAGGAAGGGAGAAAAGGACTTGGAAGAAGATAAGTGTCAGCTCTTCCCACCATTACATAAACTCTTATCTCATTCAGGTTGGATGTGATTTGCTGTTATCTGTAAATCAAAATGGATCTTCAAGTTCTTTTCCATTAGGTGAGTACAGGAACATAAACAATTAGAGATGGAAGAGACCTTAAAAAAAAATCACTTAGTTCACATTCACCTCCTACTCTTATGCATCCCCTAAGCCAGTGTTTGAATTGCCTACATACTCTATGGAATGACCATCCAGGGAGATTAAACTACTCAGCCTCTCTGTCTCAATTTCCACAATAATGAAATGAAACATAGTATTACCTACTTCAGAGAATGAAATCAGGCTACAAGACATAAAGCAGTAGTGCCTAGCTAGCTAGTGTTCAGTAAGTCCTTAATAAATATCAGCTTAAAAAATGACAATGTGGTATATAGTTCTAAATGCCCTAACAGATTGTGAAATCAGTTTTAGTGTGTAGTGACCAGCAATTTAAATAAGTGAAACAGGATACATAGTGTATTATTTCATAAAACGTTTATTTCCATTTAAATGTGGGTATATATGCATATATTTTCTGGGCCACAATATGGAATGTATTACTGTGGGTCAGGAGGAAAAGTTTGGAGAAACACTGCAACACACATTAGTTATTTTCTTCCTTTGCTGTTTTTTCACACTGAAAGCAGATCTTATTTTTAAAAACATTAACTGTCAAAGCCTTGGAACCTATAAAGTCTGAAGTACTGTATCTCTTGTTTTCAGCTGCTAGCACAGTACCTGGTAAAGATTAAGTGCTACATACACACTAGTTGAAGCAGGAACTAGAAATAGTATGAAAATACATAGAGTAGTGGTTCTCAATCTTTTCTGATTGTAAGACTCCTTTTGAGTGGGTGTGGAAAATTTTGGACCCACTTTCCAGAAGTGCCAAGCACTCACAATTTTGCACAGATTCCAGAGAATTCCTGAAACTCCATCCATCACCCTCTCAGGATCTTTGGCTTTCAAGAACTTTGAAACGATGTTTAACTTCTGACAGAGCGTGTGGACCCTCGGAATTAGATTACCTTTTAAACTCTTATACAAATCCTAGGATTCTAGAACTCTGGTGCTAGGAGGACCTAAAAGAGATGGAAAGGAAAGGTCACGTCTGCTTGCATAGTCTTCCGGTCAAAGAACAGTGGGAACAACTTTAACACACTTCTTTTACATGCGTTAAGTCACCCGAATGACACAATAATCCTGAGATGCTGAAACTGCAGCTTCAAGAGGCTTACGGATTTACCTAACAGGACACAGCGGAGCGGCTACGGAGGGAGCGCTGAGAGCAGGGCTCCGGCTCTTCGCGGGTGAAGTTGGGCAGGGTCCCCGGTGGGGGATGGGGCGGGGCTGCGCACGCGCACCGCTGCTTCAGCGCCGAAAGCTCCGGGCTTCCTCTTGCAGTCACCCTTCCTCTCCGTCCAGTACGGTGGCCGACGGGAGCCAGGCGCTGGGGATGAATGAAGGTGCTGGCTGCGGGTTCCAGCAGTTTCCGCTCTCCCGTCCTTTCAGTCTGGGTTCTGCCTTTGTGTTCTGCCCCATCCAGACCCCATCGCACCGCCGACCCGATTGGTCTCGGCGATTGGGTTCTTGGTGCTCGCTTCGACTCAGGACACAACTAGGGTGGAGGAATTTGGATTCTCGCCTAGGCCCAACTTCGGACCACGCTCTCGATTTCTACCGCGTCCCGCCTTTGGGGCGCGAAATTCGTTTGGGGTCCCGGGAGGTTGGAGGGTAGATTTAAGGTATGCAGCTTGCGCTTCTCAGGCCTCAGCACGTTTCCCGATCCCTATTGGCAACCGGCCCGACTTTTCACAGAGGGACTGGTTGGTTCTGGTTACTCCCGGGGCAGATCTGTGAACAAACAGGTCTGGGCGCCTCTACTCCGTCAAGCGCCCTTCTGTTAAAAGGCCTGCTCCGCTTGCTTAAAAGCAAAGCAACGTTTCTGCCCGCGACTCGTTTTACCCACGATTCTGTTAGTCTAGGGGTCTTAGAGGGGATGATTTGGGGCACCTGTTGACTGCATTTTTTTTTTACCCCCTCTGATTACTTAAGACAAAGAAGTGCTCAAGTGGGACTCATCATTCTTCCATAGTTTATTGCACCTTCAGGGCTGTGTTTTTACTTAGTAATGCAAGGGACTTAGGATAGTATTAGGCTCCAGAGCGTTGATTCTGGTATTGCTTTTGGCTAGTGGGGAGATTTACCAATGCTTATGCAGGCTCGTGGAGGGTGGGAAAGAGAAGCCTAACAGTTCTTGGTTAGGCATGTGAAACAAGAGGAACAGAAGAGAAGCTTTCTTAACTATGCCATTCACTTACTTTATTTACACTGTGGCACTCTTAAGATTGATACAGTGGAGGAAATCTTGGACTGTGATTTTGTAGATGAAGGTCCACCCTTGGATTTTGCCACTTACTAGTAATATTACTATGGGCCTGTTGTTTAATCTCTCTGGTCTTCATATTCCTTCTTTGCAAAATAAGAGTATTACAACAGGAGATCTCTAAGGCTGGAAGAGACATTAGTATACTGTTTTCTTTCTCATTTTCCAGGTGGCAGTAGAAACATAGGGAGCTTTTGAGTCAGGAACATTGCCAACATACAGGCCTATTACAGATAGACATTTTTCATGATTTTTAAAAAGAGGGGCGTTCATACATGTAGAAGTTATACCCCTACTTGCGTTTTTTTTTTTTTTTTACCATTAGGATCAACAGTAATAATGACTGAGTGTACAAGCCTTCAGTTCGTCAGCCCTTTTGCTTTTGAGGCAATGCAGAAGGTGGATGTTGTTCGTTTGGCATCTTTAAGTGATCCTGAATTAAGACTTCTCCTACCCTGCTTGGTGCGGATGGCACTTTGTGCTCCTGCTGACCAGAGCCAAAGCTGGGCCCAGGATAAAAAACTTATCCTTCGCCTTCTCTCTGGTGTGGAAGCTGTCAACTCCATTGTTGCATTGTTGTCTGTGGACTTTCATGCTTTAGAACAGGATGCCAGCAAAGAACAGCAGCTTAGGTAATGTTATGCTGTGTGAAGTGTGGGTTGGGATTTACTTGGGATTGACAAAGAAGAGAGTCACATATTAATGGAGCTTTTAGGATTTTTTATTGGATGTGCTCCTTTAGAGAATGTTGAGAATCCACACTTTGGAGAGCCATTTTATTTAGCTCTTTTCTCTTTATGGTTAAAATTCTGGGATCTTTTGTATTCCATATTATGTTGTGTAGAGGAGTTTGGCTATATACACAGTTATATTCAGGCTAAATTGATTAGTCCAGTTACTCTTAGTGGAAGTGAGAGGGGTTAGTTTCCCTGGTGTAAAATAATATATTGGAAACCACGTGGGAAGCTTTTTCAGCTTTCATTGATAACCCCAAAATTTTGGGCAGGTGTTCTGTCCTTCCCTGCCCATTGTGAATCCAGTAGTGAGCCATTATAGTTAATGGAACTAGATGTTCACTATCAGTTGTGATAGAGCCTCTCCGTAGATTGTGAATCCTTGCGATAGATAGGCAAACAAGTATTTCAGAAGTAATACATTCATGAAATGTATGAAAAGCATTCATTCTTCTGTAGATTCTTCCAGTAAAAGATAGTTTTTATGCTATTATTTCTGTGCCAGTGTTGTCATAATTGTTGCTTTACATGTTTATACTTTAATAGGCATAAACTTGGAGGAGGCAGTGGAGAGAGTATCCTGGTATCACAGCTTCAACATGGACTGACGTTAGAATTTGAACACAGTGATTCACCTCGTCGACTGCGTCTTGTGCTCAGTGAACTATTGGCAATTATGAACAAGGTGCATTTATATTAATCACAGCTCAAAATATGCATGATTTGATGTCTACACATAGAAGGTAGAATCAAAGGAAAGAAGGCAGGCAGGTTGCATCCTTTTCTACATATATTTCTATTTGTTATGTAACTGTTTTCCTTTCAAAGGCTTTAACAAATATTAAATGCCTGCCTTAAAATCTTTCTTTCTCTAATTGCTGTTTTGATTTATGCCTATTCTGCATTCTCTGTCATAGGGATTTTTTCCTCTATGGAGTCCCTACAGTGGCTTCTTGACATTTAGAAAGCTATATAGTTCAAGACTTGTACAGACTACCAAATTCAATAATATCTTTATAGGATATAATTCCACCCATAAAATACTGTGAAGTATAACTGAAAAATGTATGCGATTTCTTTAATGAGCATTAATTACATCATATATAACAGGGAATAGGGAATGTTAAGGCTGAACTGGATGTAGAATCATTGGCTAGCCTCACTAGGTGACTGAATTGTTCCAGGACACTAATGAAGGCAATTCAGTTTCTCATCTCAGCAAAATGACAGATTATATCATGGACCTTTGGGTTATTTTGGTTATTTGAAACTCAGAATTTTATATTTTCAGATGTCGGGGGTCAACTATACAAAGAACTAAATTAGATCCTCATATTAAGATGGCTTACATAAGATTAGGTCCAGAGTTTCAGAGGCAAAGTTATTTACTGTTAGAATTTCAAGGCTAGTTAATTTATAATAAAGTTTAGTTCTATAAATTGTGGATGAAAGAAAATAATTTCTGTTTCCAAAGATAATATTGGTGAGGGGTTTTAGTCAGTTTTAGATAATTTTTAAGCTATGTTATAAATTTATAAAAAATTTCTTCCTATTACAGTTGTTTCCTTCTGCTCTTTTCTGTTACACTGATAGCCTTTAATTTCATCCAATAGTTTTTCCTGTATCTTTTTCTTAATACCTAACCTAACGGCTGTAATAAATTAAGTGACCTTTTTCCTCTGGGAGATTTCCAGTTTTTCATCTAAGCACCCTGCAGCATATGGGATATGTGAATGAGACTAGGAAATTTTTGAAAAAACTAGTAGATACTTTTATTGACCTAAATTCTTATTCTTTGTTTCTCCCACAGTTCATTCGAAACTGAATGTGAATTGTTATACTGCTTTACGTTTACAGGTTTTTGGCTCTCTTTGAACTACAACTTAGGTAGCATTCCTAGTTAATTTCTTTGGCTTGTCTTATTATTAATTCCAAATGTCTCCAAATATTTGTATAAAAATAAGTTATCTAGACCCATATTGCCATGTTTGAATAACAATTAATGTGACTACTTGTGGTTAAATTTAAAATCACTGAATACTGCATATTCTGCAGTATATTAATGACATATTAAGAGATATAGTTGCTAAGCTCAACAAATAATTACAGAAATAGTAGAGGTTTACTTCATTACCTGAAATTAATACAATTCATCATTTCTTTCTTTCTTTTTTAAGGTATCTGAGTCTAGTGGAGAGTTTTTTTTCAAGTCCTCTGAACTATTTGAGAGTCCAGTGTATTTGGAGGAAGCTGCGGATGTACTTTGTATCTTACAAGCAGGTACTTTAATGAGTGCAAAGATACATTTCCTATAGAGCTTCTTCTAAAGTGATACTGTGAGCTCCTTCTAAAGTGAGACTGTGCAGCTTCTTAACCTGGAATGTTGCATTATTTTAAGGCTCACCTAATAAAAATATACCTTAAAAAGTGAGATTAAAAATGACTAATAATAGGACAAGCCTTGAATTATTTGTGTGTGTTTAAAGACATTTAATGATTTTGGAATATGTTCACAATATGCTAAATGAAAAAAGCTAAGGGCAAAATCATAAATAGAATATAATCTCAATTTTGTTAAAAGTTAAAACAATAACCCTGGAGAGATTACAGTGAAATATTTCAAATTGTTAACTTGAGTAATAGGATTGGAGCTGATTTTATTTTTATTCTTTGTACTTTTTGTATTTTCCAGGTTCTTTATAATAGGTACATATAACCAGAATGAAAAGATAAGAGGACATAAAAATGCAAAGAAGATTTTTCATGAAAATAACTTGACTAGCACTGTCCACTGCAATGATGGCAGTGTTTTGTGTTGTCCTTTCCAGTACAGTAGCCACTAGCCACATGTGGTTGTGGATCCCTTGAAATGTGGCTAGTGTGAGTGGGGAACTGAACTATAACTAATTTTAAAAATTTTTAATGAATTGAAATGGTCACATGTGGCTGGTGGCTAACCTACTGGACAGTTCAGCTCTAGGAAAAGAAAATGCCTTAACTGAATTGCTTTTAAATGACATCAGTGAAATGTCAAAAGATGTTTATAACACAGTGAAGTATCACTTCTTAGTAGTAACATTGACTTTGTTGTTTTCTAGAGCTTCCTTCCCTGCTTCCTATTGTTGATGTAGCTGAAGCCTTGCTACATGTTAGAAATGGTGCCTGGTTCTTGTGTCTGTTGGTGGCCAATGTTCCTGATAGTTTTAATGAAGGTAAATATAGTTTTAAAATGGGAAACTGAAGAGGTTTGCTTGGGCATATTCTGGGCCTATGTTTTGTGCTAAGAAGAAACATTAATGAGGTTTTATTTGAGATTTTATCTTTTGAAAGTTTATTAGTGAGTACTCATTATAGAAATATAAGAGTTCAGAAGATTTCAAAATTTTTTGAGATTATAAATTTAACTATAGTGATTGTGCAATAGAATTTTTTTTCCCAATCGTCTCTTGTGCTAGAATAGGACAGTAAAAAGACTAGAAGAACTGGAAGATATAATTCCTATGCTTAGGGAACAAAGGGGAGAAGACATATCTGTGATATAGCCAGAGAGCATTATGAGATATATATAATCAGAAATATCAGCAATCAGACCTTTGTTTTTTAGCTGTTAGTTTGCAAAGTAAAGGGTAGAGATAGAGATTGAGAAAAATCAGCTGAAATTTTCATCTCTATTTCAAATTCCTAGTGATGAAGATTGTTGTTTGGGTCTGAGTGATAAAAAAATAAAAACATTTATTGAACAAGGTGATTTGTGAATTGGGGGCCAAGGAGGAAAAAGCACTGGATATGGGGGGTCATAATTTCTGGCTTTGTCATTCATCCTTTGAGTGATCTCTTATGAAGATCCTTTTCACCTATAAAATGAGATATTGGTAATAACATTTTCCTTATTTTTCTAAGAGATTTATTGGCTATCACGTGGTATGCAGAAGCCCTTGGTAAACTGGGTTCTGCTGATTTTCCATTTACTTGTTCTACCAGTTACTGAGAGAAGACTGTTGATGTCTCCAGAGATGATTCATTTTACCAGTTTTTGCTTCATGTATTTTGAAGCTGTTATTGGGCCCATGTACAATTTGATAATTCAGGCTTTTTCTTTTTCATTATAAAAGGTCCTTCTTTATCCCTGGTAATATTCTTTCTTTTGAACTCTGCTTTATCTGGTATTAATACAGCCATATCAGCTTTCTTACAATTAGTGTTTGCATATTATATACATATATGTAGGTCCATCTTTTTATTTTTAGTCTGTCTGTGTCTTTATATTGAAGGCGGACTTGTAGAAAGGTGTAGTTGGGTCTGTTTTGCTTTTGTTAAATTTAGTGATGGTCTCTGCCTTTGGATTGGAGTGCTTAGACTATTTTCAGAGACCATTTAATGCGATTATTGTGGTGGTTAGATTTAAGTCTGTCATCTTGCCATTTTTCTATTTGTCCCCGCTTCCCTTTTTTCCTTATCTTTTTTTCATTTGATTAAACATTTTTTAGGATTTCATTTTATGTCCACTACTGTCATATTAGTTATACTGCTTTGCTTAATTTTTTCCTTTCATTTTAAAGTTTATTTTTGGGTGTAAGGTTTATAGTATGCATCTTTAACTTACGGCAGTCTACTTTCAAATGATTTTATACCTCTTCATGTAATTAATATATTTTCCCCTCTCTTCTGCCCTTTGTCCTCTGTACCATTGTTATCATAGCTTTTACCTGTACGTGTCTTAGGAACCTCAGAGTACATTGTAACTACTTTTGTTTAAAACAGTTACATTTTAAAGACCTTAAAAAGATGAGGGGGAAAAAAGTCTTTTTCTTTATCCATATTTACCATTTTTGACACTCTTCACTCCTTTTTATACCTCCATGTTCCATTTGATCTAATTCTCTTTAGCTTGAAGAACTTCTGTTAATATGTCTTGTAGTACAGGTTTGCTGGCAACAAAATTTCCCAGTTTTTTTAATCTGTAAAAAATCTTATTTTGCCATTACTTTTGAAAGATGTTTTCAGTAGATATAAAGTTTTTGCATCAACATTTTCTTTTAGCTCTTTAAAGATATTCTGTTCTCTGTAGCAGTTTTTGTCTGTTCCTGTGTACATTATGTTTCTTTTTTCCTCTGGCTCCTTTTATGTATTTACTTTATTCATTTTGGCTATTTAAAAATTTTTCTCTTTATTACCGATTTTCAGAAATTTGATTGTGATAATGTGTCTTGGTATGGTTTTCTTTGTGTTTATCCTGCTTGGAGTTTATTGAGTTTCTGGGCTTATAGTTTTCATCAAATTTGAGAACATTTCTTCAAATATATTTTCCTCTCCTATTCCCTTTTTCTTTCTGAGACTCTACTTAAAAATATGTTTGACTACGTGCCATCATCCCCCTGTTCATTCTTTAAGTCTCTTCTCACTCTTTGCTTTATTTTGACAAGTTTCTATTGATGTGCATTCAAAAGTTCCCTGAGCCTCTTCTTTTGTAGTATCTAATCTGCATAACCGATCGATTCTCAAGGCTGAAAAACGTCGTTTTTAACATCTTACTTACAAAGCTGAAAGTAATGGAGGCTGTTAAATGTTCAGTTTGTAGGGGCCTGATCAAAAATGGAGAACGGCAAGATGAAGAAAGTCTTGGAGGAAGGCGCAGGACAGATGCCTTACGCTTCCTATGTAAGATGAATCCTTCTCAAGCCCTCAAGGTCCGAGGCATGGTGGTAAGAGATATTATTTTATGAGACAAAAGCTTTTATATTAGGACCAGGAACTTTTCTGACGATGGTTTTAGAATCCAGGAGTTACATGCTAGATATATTACCTATCTCTCTTTTATGTTCTGTAATATGTCTTCCTCTAAACTTTAGATGATTGAGATTCTGAAGGACCCTGGCCCTTTTCCTAATGATTTTGAGTTCAGTTTGTTTTCTTTGCTCTTAGGTGGAAGAATGTCACCTGCCAGGCCTTGGAGTGGCTTTGACACTAGATCATACTAAAAACGAAGCTAGTGAAGATGGAGTGAGTGACTTGGTTTGTTTTGTCAGTGGCCTGCTTCTTGGAACAAATGCGAAAGTCCGGACTTGGTTTGGAACTTTTATCCGAAATGGACAGCAGGTGAGGCAAAGGAGCAGAATATCTTGGCAATAAGTAAAAGGAAGAACCACTTTTGGAATGTGTAATTAGACCAGTGGTTCTCCAACCTCGTAGTCTGAGGACTTCCGAACATTTAAAAAAATTATTGAGGATACCAAAGAGCTCTTGTCTATCGATATTTACCTTATTAGAAATGAAAATAAAAAGTTTAGAAATATTTATTTAAAAATAACAATGTTAACTCTTAATAATAATATGAACATATTTTTTATGAAAAATTACTGTTCTCCAAAACAAAAAAAATTTAGTGATAAGAGTGATATCATTTTACATTGTGCAGATAGATGTCTTTAATGTCTGGCTCCATAGAAACCTTTGGAAAAATGCACTGTACACTTGGGAGGAAATGAAAATAAAGAAGGCCGGTAATGTCTTAGTATTATTAAGGAAATATTTTTGACATTCTGGAACCCCTGAAAGAACTTTGGGAATCCCTAGCGTTCTGGGTCAGACTCACGAGAACTGCTTTAGGTCATCAAAATAATTGTTACTGTAGCCTATAATTTTAATATATATGTTTTCTGTGGTAAAATATACTTAACATAAAATTTGCCATTTTCATCATTTTTAAGCATATAGTTCAGTGACGTTAAGTACATTCTCAGTCTTGTGCAACCATCACCACTATCTGTTTCCAGAACTTTTTCATCATCCCATACAGAACCCTCTGTACTTACTAAATAATAATTCTGTGTTCTCCCTTCTTCCTAGCCCCTGGTAACCTCTATTCTACTTTGTCTCTGTGAATCTGCCCATTTTAGGTCCCTCCTAGAAGTGGAATCATACAATATTTCTCTTTTTGAGTTTGGCTTACTATTTTACTTAGCGTAGTGTTTTCAAGGTCCATGCATGTCGTGGCATGTATTAGAATTTCCTTCCTTTTTAAAGGTAAATAAAATCCCATTGCATGTGTTTATTACATTTTATTTATGCATTCATGTATTGATGAATATGTATCATGTTTTGCAATAAGTTTTAACTTGCAAAATACTTTTTCAAAAAACATTTCATGGTCAGTCTATGAGTAGAGTCCCTCCGAAGGAACAGTGCAGACTGATCTGTGACTTGCTGGGGTCAGTGAGCCTCCGCAGTAGCATGTGTACTGCTTAGATCCTCCCGTCTAGTTTTCAAAGACATTTGACTCACTGTTATTTTCTATATCCAAGTTCTACTTTATTCCTAGCCCACTTGAAAACCAATGTTAAGCTTTGCTTTTTAAAAGAAGTTAACATTTTTTGTATCTCTTCTATAGGTCAGGCACTGTGATAAGTACTTGGTATGCTTACCTTGTTTGTAATCGTCTTTTGTGTGCAATAAGCTTTTCTTACTTGAACCTAATGTTGTTTTCTAAAACAGGTTCATCATATTTTACTTGGAAACATTCTAAAAATAAAAACTAATATTTACCCAGTCCTTTATAGTGTAGAAGCACTTTCCTATGTATTATCTTTGTTCATTCATTCATCTATGTAAGAGATCATTGAGTGCTTGCTATATGTCAGACCCAGTGTTAGGTAGGCCCTGCTAAGTAATAGATGACAGAACATCATCCCTGCCTGAAGAACTGTGAAGGTCAAAGACTTGGGAACTCCTAATTAAAACAGCCCTGGGAGTTAAATATTATTAAAATATTCATTTCCCTGTCATTAAATAAATTAGGGTTCAGAGAGGGTAAGTAATATACTTAAAAGTACATAATTAAAATAGCAGAGTTATCATTTAAACCCAAGGCCTAGTGGCGCCCAAGTCTGAGCACTTCCTGCCATGCTCTGACGCCAATTAGTCATTATGTATTTGAAATACCATTTAAATGACATTTTATAATTCAAACTGTCATTAATTTAGTATTTTCTATACATCCAGTCCAAATGAGGGTGAGTGGAGTATTCTTCAAATGAACCAGTGAATACTGAGTTGCTTAATTGGTTAAAATGAGATTCTGCAGTTCTGACAGCCTCTTCAAATGGGCCAGTTTTCAAGTGTTTAATGGAGAGGCTTTGTGTGAGCTTCCTGTTGACTCAGAGCTCCCCCGCTTTCTTCTTTTTGTGGTCCTTGTTTCTTACAGAGAAAAAGAGAGACCAGTAGTTCTGTCCTTTGGCAAATGAGAAGGCAGCTGCTTCTGGAGTTGATGGGCATTCTTCCCACAGTAAGAAGTACCCGCCTTGTGGAAGAAGCTGATGTGGAGATGGAGCCCAGTGTGTCTGTGTATTCGGGGCTGAAAGAAGAGCATGTTGTGAAAGCCAGTGCGCTCTTACGTCTGTACTGTGCTTTGATGGGGATCGCTGGACTCAAGTATTCATAATTTGATATTTTACCTTTTTATCATTTTACTTTCTTGTTTTAAATCCCAAGAAAGTGAGACAAAGGCCTTTTACTCAGAAGATTTGGGTTTTCTGTTAGGCTTAGGTAGTGGACTGACCTCTTTGAAGAATCCAGTCCTAAGGCAAAACATCTTTTGGGTCTGATTGTAAATAGAGCTGTGTAAATATGGGAGGGGCCGGAGGCGTGCAAGAGACCTGTGATGTCACCACAGCTTAACACAACTATAATCATGAATGATCTATGAGTGATCCTTTACCCAGCCCATGCAGAGTAACTCTCTCCTATGTTTCCTTTTATATCTGAGATCATAAATTGCTTAAAATTGATATGATGTAATCAGTAAGCACAAGTTTTCTTGTTTAGGCACAGCACTACATCTTTTTGAATAATGTCCTTACCTATTACACATACAGCCCTCACTTTGCATATGTGTGATACATATGAATTTCAGTTCCCACAGCTTAGTTAAATAGTAATGCTCCCTCAACAACTAATTTATCAGTTATCATGATTCATTAAGCAAATAATTGTATAACACAAGGACAAACTTTGCTGAGAGGTCTTCAAGCCACAAATCACTGTGAATAACAGATGTATGTCATGATCAGGGACCAACTGCCTCATTTCTTTGAAAGCCTGTTAGTGACTGGTCACTGCACACCTATTAAACAGTTTATGAACAGATGGCAAAGTGGGTACTTTTATCTATTGTCTTCTCATCTCTGAATGATAAGCCCTTTGACATTTTACAAAAATGGATAATCAAATGAGGGAATTGACTGATAAAGATGAAAGTGTAGCAAAGAGAAAGTGGTAATGCTAGAAATGACATTTGAATCAAATGTAAACAGAAGAAATAGCTGTGAGAATATTGATACTGCTGCCGTTTGAGAGACCATAGATATGTAACAAGATGAACTTAGTGAAAGTGAAGTGGTCAGCATCCAGTAGGATAGTCATTGTGACAGAAATGATGAAGTATGATTCTGGCAAAGTCTTCATATTAAAGGAACTCTTAGGTATTTCATGACTGGAGGTACAAAGGATAAAATGTTAGAACCTGATCCAAACTCAGAAATGGGCATTACAATTCAACAAGGCTTCGAGGAGGTGCTCTCTCCATATTATAAATTACACAGAAGAAGGTTAGGGTAGTTCAAACTACTCTTGATAAATTTCTTTCAAAGGAAATACTTAATTTTCAGTGTTTCCAATATTTTCAATACTAGAGTGCTATACAAATACTAGTTTTACTATTTTTTTAAAGTTTCTGTATGCATTATAACCAACAGAGTTTTTAATATTCGACAACATTTTTTAAGCTCTTGCAACAGTTGTAATTTCCACCTTTGATTATTAAGATCATAATTCATAGTCTCAGTTTGCATGGCTTTTTTTACAGTCCCACACTACCATGCAAAGTGAGGACTGCATGTATTTGTGCCTGAAGAAAGACATTGGTTTGTAAATTTAACAGTTTTGCTTTTGACAACTTAGGATTTTATAAATAGTGACTTATCATTATAAAGCTTGACATCTGTATCTGAAAGGTTAAACTCTTGGAAGTCCCTTTTTCTTCTTCCCTCTCTCAGGTAAAAAAGTCTAATAATATATTCCTTTTTCAGGCCAACTGAGGAGGAAGCTGAACAACTACTGCAGCTGATGACCAGCCGTCCTCCTGCCACACCAGCTGGGGTTCGCTTTGTTTCACTTTCCTTCTGTATGCTACTGGCCTTTTCTACACTCGTCAGGTACCTTACTGTATCAATTGCTCTATTTTGTCAAGGTCTGCTTTTGTTTATTTATTAAAATGCATGTATAACACTAATTAGGAGCTTACTACAAAAATTGGTCTAAGTCTTGCCTTTTAGTAAATGCATGTCAGTAGCATCTACTGTATGTCAGCCATTTCATTTATCAAAGTTTCATGTGCATGTTTTTTAAAGGAGCCATGACAGTTCATGAAGATTTGTTAAGGCAGATAGCAGCCCTTACCTCCTCCGTTTCCTCTTCCCTAGAGGCAAGTTATTTCAGTTCTTCTAGCTGATTCTTTTGTTTTTTATTAAATTACAGCATCTTTAAATGACATATTTGCATTTGCTATATCTTGATTTTTCTATTTTAAGAGCATTTGTTGACTGCCCATTATGAAAAATGAGGAATCAATTCTATCCTCCATCCCCAACACATCTAGATAGTCTTCCTATTTTCCCATTCTCCCAGTACTATTATATTTTAATTTTGCTTTGACCAATATATAAGTGCTTGTATTACACTATTGGAAGCTCAACCATGTAGTAGATTCCTTTTCCTCTACAATACTTATTTGCATTAGTAATTATCCTGTGTTTGTGTGTTTTGTTTTTCATTTGCTTGGTGTTCCGTGTCCTTACGTTAATTCAACCTCAGACTGCCAATCTAGACCTTCTCTCAGGATGTTCAGACTCTTTAGATGTTCTTTAGATGTTCTGTCAATTTCATTTTTGTGAGGAAAACTCTCCTGCAACATTTTGACTGGCTCCAGTCTGCTGGTTACCTCTGCACCTGGTACACAGCTCCCATCCTGCACTTGCCCTTCATTATCATTTAGGGACTTGTTTCACCTCTCCTTTGTTGGATCTCCTATTTGCTGTATCTCATGTCTCCTTTTTTCATTTGCTCCCTCATTTTGCTTCTTTAGAATGGGTATGTGGAAAGTAAATTATTTTGAGACTGGGTATTTCTGAAAATGTCTTTATTCTACTTTGATCCTTCATTGACAGTGTGATGGGGTATAGAATTCTAAATTGGAAGTAATTTCCTTTGCAAATTTTGAAAATCTTGCTCCATTGTCTTCTAACTTCCAGTGTTGCTGTTGAGAAGTCTCATGACCTTCTGGTGCCTGGTCCTTTGTGTGGCCTGTTCTTTTTTAATGAGGGAACATGTAGGATTAGCTTTTGTCCCTGGGTTTTGAAACTTGTGAATGATATGCCTTGGTGTGGGTCTGTTTTTATCTATTGTCCTGGGTACTCAGGAAGCCCTTTGAACCTGGGAACTCAGGTCTGGGAAATTTTCTTGAACTAATTTGTTGATAATGTTTTCCACACAGACTTTCTCCATCAATAATCTCCTCTTAGTTGGATATTGGACTTCCTGAGATGTGCGTCTTGTTTTTTTATGCTTTTTTGTGTTCCTTATCTTTGTCTTGTTCTGCTCTTTGAAACACAGCTTAATTTAGAGACAATTTAAATAGCATAAGATTGACCCATTTTAAACTGTTCCTCAATTCAGTAGTTTTTATTATGTATGTCAAATTGTGCAGCCACCACCACAATCTAATTTTAGAACATTTCATTACTCCAAAAAAATACTGCTCATTCTACATTTTAGGATTCATTTTCACTTTTTACCTTTCTAATCCTATTTAGTTTTTGTTTTCTAAGAGCTCTTTTTTATTCTGTTTCTTCTTTATAGTATCTGTTGCTTCATGGGAGCATGATTTCTCTGATACTAATCATAATGATTGAGGAGGTTTTATTTGTGCTGTGTCTTTTCTCTGACTTTCTTTTATTCTATACTTTTTTGGCCTCTGATTTCCAAGTTAGAAGCTTTTTTCAGGAGTTTGATAATTCTTGATTGTCTGTTTATATTTATGAGTAAGAAATAAAAGTCATATTTGGAACTCTGAGTGCATAGGTGAATCTTTGGGAAACTTGAGGGCCTAACACAGTTTTAGAGAAGACTGTCATTCTGTTTGGAAAGTGAAGGTAAGAAACCCTTAAGCAAAATTAAGAAGTGAGGGCTAAGGACTGGGTGATCTCAGCCTGCAGAACAACCTTTCATATAACTCTATCTAACTTTCAGAATGGTGCTTTAGATATCCCTGGTTGTCCCTTGGTTCAGAGATACCCTCTTTTACCATCTCCAGAGAATAAATCTCCAATCTCTTTACTGGGGAATGAGTATTCATATAGTTGTGTAGAATGGAGGAGGTGATTTGGAGATTTATTACTTACATAGACTTTCAACCATTTAAATTTAGTCTTTGTCTTCACTTTTACTTCCAGAGCTTCCTGGAGCTGTCAATTCCTGAGCCCTTTGAGGATTCTGTGTTTTAAAATGAACTGGTTTTTCCTCTTGCCAGCTTAGTGTTCTGTTTTCTTATGTTGCTAAGTCAGTCACCATTCATCTGTTTGCACTTTAGCTTCCAGTATTTTGTGTTGTTATTCCTCCTCCTCATCATCATGTGCATTTGTAACTTTTAATAAAACCCTTTTAATGTAGTTTGAGTGGAGTTTCAGGAGGGTGTGAAATTAGGTACATGAAATGAAGTGCTTTTTTTTTTCTCTACCTGAAGTAATTTCTAAACATTGTCTCTAATCCTCATTCTATAAGGTGGGTATTTTTATCTCTATTTTATGAGTAGGAAAGCTAAAGTTCAGAAGGAGTATTTTATTTTCTTGTTCAAGGTCACCCTATTAGTAATTAGCAGAGATGGGATTCGCACTCAGGTCTAGCAGGCTCTAAAGGCTGTGGTTTTTGTACCACATAAAACTGTATTTTATTCATGGGATGATTTAGGTATGGTTGAGAATGACCTTTTTAATTTTCTTAACTTGTTGTAGCAGACTTTTTAGTTGCTTTTTGTTTTACCCATTTATGCTACAGTGAAGTAGAAAGAGTTCAATGAAAATTCTTTTCACAAGTCAAAATTAACTTGTTCATTTCAATCTAAATCTAGGCATTCCCTTTTAAAAAGTCACTGTTGTTGGTATAGTTTTATAGCCATTTTTCATATTTGATGAGCCCATGGCTGTCTCTTTTTTTTGAGTAGTGATCGCTTATTTTTCTACAATTTTGAGTTCTGTTCAAAATGTTTCTTTAAATTAAATTTTACTTTCCAGGTAAAAGATGGACTAATTTTTTGCTGTCCCAGCACTCGTTTTGACTTTTTGATGATTAAGTTTTAACACTAGATTTTTCAGTTATTAGTGTAGTTCTTCTTACCTCTTAATCCCATAGGGCCTTTTCTTTTCCAAGGAATGTGAAGAAGTTCACTCTCTCTAGCTTGCAAATGCAGTAACTAAGACTTAGAGAGGGTTAGACTGTTCACATTCATGAAGAAAAGCAGAAGTCCTCATTGTTTATCTCTAGAATTACTTCATATCTCAATAACAATGGCCAATTTAACAAGCAATTAATTTGAATTAATATTTCAAAATAGAGAAGGAAAGAATAATGTCTACCAAAAATAATTCCTTCTTATTCTTATGTGAGTGTATCTGATGTAAATCAGTGACATTCTGGTATGTTTTATGTAGTACACCTGAACAGGAACAGCTAATGGTAGTGTGGCTAAGTTGGATGATAAAAGAAGAAGCTTATTTTGAGAGGTAAGATGACTCTATTTGTTTCACTTAGCTGAGTATGCTTTTCTTATCCTCTCTGGAAATTCATATTTCCTTTTCTGTTTCAACAGTACTTCAGGTGTCTCTGCTTCTTTCGGGGAGATGTTACTATTGGTTGCTATGTACTTTCATAGCAACCAGCTTAGTGCTATCATTGACTTGGTCTGTTCCACTTTGGGGATGAAGGTAATTTTTCTTACAATCTTTTTTTCTAAATATGTTTCTAAGCCTGGAAATTTTCTTGTACTGTAAAGTAAAATATATTATTTTCATTTTGAAGTAAGTTTAGTTATTTAATAGTTTGAAATTTTATCAGGAGCTCTTAGAAAGAATACATTATTGAAACATTTATTACAAGAATAATAGATGTTCAATGAAGAAAACTTGGAAAACACAGAAAAGGGACTATTAAAGCAGTGATGTAGCATATAATCCAATCCTCAGTGTCTTTAAAAGCAAAGAAGTAAACTATGTTGCAATGGATTTTTCCCCATCTTTTTTGCCGTGTGGTTTTTGGTGTGTAGTATAGTAAATATTTATTTCATGGTTCGTTCTTTGCTGTTAAGCTTAGAAATGTTTTTCTTTCCTTAGGCTTACAGAGATGGTCACCAATGTTTTCTTCTAGTGTTTTCGTGGCTTCATGTTTTACATTTAAATCTTTAGTACACTTGAAGTTTATTTTGGGTATGATGTTATGTGTGCAAATATATATATTCCCCAGAAAAGTAGCTACCTCACCTCCATTTATTGAATAATCAATCCACTTTTTCCCACTGACTTAAAATGCCAATAATAGTATTTACTAAGAAGTATTTACATATTTATATGTTGGTTCAGTTTCTGAGGAAAAGTACACTTTAATGTTGTGTTCCAGAAGCTCCTTCTGAAACAGATGACTGGAACATTAATTTTATATAGTATAGTCATTTTAGATAATAAGTTTACCAGAGAAAATTGTGCTTCATACTTCATATTTTCACATCCTGTTGGACTTGTTCTGATTGTTTTAGATTGTAATTAAGCCAAGCTCCTTGAGCAGGATGAAGACTATCTTCACTCAGGAAATTTTTACTGAGCAGGTACTTCTTTTAACTTTATTCTTAGGTACTTCCATAACTTCCACTTAGAACATTTCTTGGGGGAATACTCGTATGTCTCAGTTTAAGAGAATAATACAGTCTTTTTCTATTCCTTTTTTAGTTTCTAATGATGATCTATTTAATCTTCAAAACTTCTGTAAAGAATAATCCCATTTAAAGTATACTTTCAAAACTAATTAGTGCACACAAAAACCTGTTTTAACTTTATGTATTTTGGAAACTTTGAGTAGAGACTTAAAGAGTATAGTCTTAGACATTGATGGTAGGGAATTCACTCAGGGGTAAGCATTTGGATTAGTCAGAAGAAAAATAAAATAGGGACCTGTTTAAACCTTTAGGTTGTAAGGTTCATTTCTAACTAGATTATAAACTAGAGCCTAAATTCCTTTTACTTGTTATTTACATGTTCTTACTTGACCTTCCCACTTTTGTGGGTAATTCTAAGGATATTTTATTTTTTCAGTGAAGGAGACTGTTGTGAAATTTAAAATTAATTCCCAGATTCATTGTTCAATTTAAATCTCAGGATACAAGAAAAATATGTTTAAAAAAATAAAATACTGAAAATATTCATGGGTCCATAATTGTTGCTTCTTTTAGGATAATTAATATTCTCATCCCTATACCAAACTGTCCCTTTGCCTTCAGTGCACATACACTCCCACATAACAGTAACACACAGGGCATAGATTCCTAAGTTATTTCTCATGTGTTTAATTTGAACTAAGTCGATGACAACTTTGGCCAGGGTCTTTGAAAGATAATTAGGGATCTGTATATGACATAATATATAAGAATAATAATAAGAATTCCTGTTTATATTTATGTGATACTTTATAATTCACATATGTGCTTCAAAACAAATTTTTCCCCTCACAAAATCCTTTTGAGGCAGGTAAGACAGTATTGTCCCATTTTGCGGATGTGAAAATAGGCCCAGAATATAGAGTGACTTATTCAAAGTCATTGAGCATGGATTTTATGATTCCAGATTTTAATTTTTTACCTTACTATGTCACTGTCAACATATTTGTGTTAAAAACAAAAAAAATTAGAGAACTTTACCTAACCTTAAATGTATGCTTCCTTATCATTCAAAATAATTTAATTCCTAAGGATCATACTTGTATTAAGAATTGGCAGTCTACCTGCTAATCCTCGCTCTTTCAAAATAATTTTATATTTGGTTCTATCATATGTATTAACAGTATTTTTCCATTTTAGGTTGTCACAGCACATGCAGTTCGGGTCCCTGTCACCAGCAACCTGAGTGCCAACATTACTGGATTTTTGCCTATTCACTGTATTTACCAGCTCCTCAGGAGTCGTTCCTTTACCAAGCACAAAGTGTCAATAAAAGTATGAACTTACATTTATATTTCAAGCTACAACCTAACTTAATGCTTTTTTCCCCAGTTCTGTTTCAGTTTGGAGCTCTTGACTGTGGATTTTGTGTATGAAATGAGTCTAGTTACTAGTCATTTATATAGTTACAGTAATTAGAAACTTTAGATTTCATAAATAATATAACCATTTAGTTATTTAATAAGAGTTCTATGTCACTAATTCATTTAAATTCTTGCTAATAGCATATGGCTATTTCATTAAACTGTAGTAAGAAACTGCCATTTTCTATACTTTGGTTTTGTTCCTTGAACAGAGTTACTGGTCACCCATGGCCAGCATTTGTACATTTGTCACAAGGACACCTAACTTTTACATACTTTGATACATTTTCAGTTTGTTATAGTTGGCTATATGAAAGAGCTAAAAGTTTCTCCAAAGAAATTGAATCTCAGGAGGTAAAAAACTCTACTTGAACCTTTTTTAGAGGCTCACTTACTTGTAAAGAACAATGAACAAACGATTCAGTGAAGTTATTTTCCAGCCAGATTGTATCTTCTGCTTCTTTATATATATTTTTCTTTTTGTTATCATTACTCTGCAATTACATGAGGAACATTATGTTTACTAGACTCCCCCATCACCAAGTCCCCCCCCCATACCCCATTACAGTCACTGTCCATCAGTATAAGAAGATGCTGTAGAATCACTACTTGTCTTTGTGTTGTACAGCCCTCCCTGTGCCCCCACATTATACATGCTAATCATAATGACC